TTCATCTTCATATATTGAAATCCAATGTTTTTTGTTCATATGCCATCCTGCATGAATATACGGATAAATATCACGTAGCATTGCGCCGTGGTCAGGCGTAACTTTTAAGTTACTTAAAGCTGCCCCACTTAAAGATGAATTGAGCAAAAACATTTTATCCATGACTTTATAGACATCACAGCCTTCACCAAAGGGCTGACTACACGTTACTTCTGGCAGGGCAAGTGCAGCTTTTGCAGCAATAAGATGTAAGGACATGTTGATCATCACTCAGTGGGCGAAGCCCTGTGGATATTGTTTAATTTATCCACAGTTTAAGCCAAATGCTTAAGATGAACAACTCACCATCACCTCAGGAACATCCGTTGGTAAAGGTGCTAAATCCTCAGCTTTCTCTAGTGCTACATTTCGCTCAAACGGGTGGCTAAGCAGGTCAAATAAGCGTTCGACTTCTGAGAAATCATTCCGCTCAGCCAGCTCAATCGCTTTTTGCGCCATGTGATTGCGTAGGATATAAACAGGGTTGGCTTGTTGCATGGCTGCATTGAGTTCTGTTGTGTCTTGATTTGCACGAATTTGTTCATACTGAGCGAGGAAAATTTCAAATTGACGACGGTCAAGGCAGTCATCTTTAATCATTTCATATTGTTGATTCTGCAAACGAGTAAAGCTTTGTGTGTAGTCGAGCTGTTCAGTTTGTAGAATCCGTAAGAAGGTCATGGCACAGTCAAAACTTTCGGTGTGGAAATGAGGTAAGCCCATTTTCTGACTTAAACCCAGTTTGTAGTGCTCCAAGAACGTGGGTTCATAGTGCTCTAGGCAATCGGCAAGGTCTTGCTTCCATTGTTCTTTGTCATAGTCTTGAGGACAAAGCGGAATGAGGTTATTCAACCATGTCCATAAGTTCCAGTGTCCAATGCTCGGCTGCTGCTGATAGGTATAGCGGCCTTGATAGTCAGAGTGATTGTTAATCCAATTCGGACGGAAGCGTTCCATAAAACCATAAGGGCCAAAATCGAGGGTTGAACCTGTAATGTTTAAATTATCAGTATTCATCACCCCATGTGCGAACCCGACCAGTTGCCATTTGGCAATCATTACCGCAGTCCGTTGAATCACTTGAGTTGCAAATGCCAAAACAGGTTGTTCCGCATCTAAACACTCGGGGTAATGCCATGCGATACATCTTTGGGTAAATTCGTCGAGTAAATCAGGTTGATACTGATTGATCCACTCAAAATGTCCCAAGCGAATATGACAGTCTGATGTACGTAACATCATGGCACCGAGTTCCAACTTTTCCCGCTGCACGCCTTGAGCCGACGAGGTAAAGCCCACCGCGTTGCTTGAAGCCACGCCTAAACTATTCAGCGCATGTCCAGCCAAATACTCACGAATGACGGAGCGAAGTACCGCACGACCATCTCCCATACGCGAGTAAGGAGTAGAACCTGCACCCTTTAAATGCAGGTCAATGGTTTGCCCATGTTGATCGAGAATTTGTGCAATCAATAAACCTCGACCATCACCGAGCTGTCCTGCCCACTGACCAAATTGATGTCCTGCATAGACCATTGCCAATGGTTCAAATTCACTAAAGGTTTTTTGTCCGCTACAAATCTCTACCCAAGACTGTTTGTCGGCTTCAGACCATTGCAACTGTTCTGCCAATGCGGCATTGAAATGACCTGCTTTTGCCCCTTTCAGTGGCAGGGGCTGTTGATGGTGATAAAGCTTTGACGGAAGGAGAGAATAGCGTGAATTGAACTGCATAGTGAAGGATCACAAGGGATAAGCCATGACCCCATCAATATAGCAAAGTTTTAGTGTTAAGACATATATCCAACTGTTTTAGTCAACTATAAACAGCTTGGCACCTTTTGAGGTGGACGAGCGATGGGCTTCGGCTTGATCCGCAACTTGGTAACTCATGCCAGCCGTGAGGGTAAAGCTACGACCATCATCTAGTTCGGTGTGTAGTTCGCCTTCTAAGCACAACAGAATATGTCCTTTAGAACACCAGTGGTCGGCCAAATAGTTCTCAGAATACTCCACCATACGCACGCGAATCGCGTCAAATTGCTGAGTACGCCATAGGGCATAACCTTGATCACCTGTATGGCGGGTGGTTGGTATCTCGGCCCAGTTGGTGATACCGAAAGGAATGTTGTTAATATCCATGTTGTTATCCTTTATGAACTGCTAAAAAAAGCCCCTTGCGGAGCTTTCTTTTGAAATGCTGAATCAGAGATTAGTTATTGAGAAACAGGGGCTTTTTTAATGCTGCGCATCAGTGTGGTCAAGGTTTGACGATGATGACCTAAGCGCTGTTCGACTAACTGAAATTCAATTTTGAGCTTTTCATCCATTTGATGGATTTTTTCAGCCACTGCTGTTTTCTTGGCTTGAATTTCTTGTTCTTTCAATTTTGCCCAGTCATTCAAAGTTTGGGTGAATGCATCATACTCTTGCGCAATACGAGCTTTCGCAGAGCTGATGTCATCACTGACATTTAGACCATGAACTTCTAAGTCTTGTTCAGCGTATTTAAACTTCATCGCAAGTTCAGCTTTTTTAATATTGAAGCTCGGAATACGACGTAAGTTTTTAGCTAAACCCAGTTTTGAGCATGACCAAATCAACCATTTGGTTGGGTCATATTGCCACCATTTCACCCCGTTACGATAGTCGTATTGGAAAATGTGGTGGTAGTTATGATAACCCTCACCCCAAGTGGCAATGGCTAACCAGAAGTTGTCACGTGCGGTATTTTCGTCTGTATATGGACGTTTGCCCCACATATGACATAAAGAGTTAATGAAGAACGTGACGTGGTGGCTGAGGATTAAACGCATTAATCCGCCCAACAATAACACGCCCCATAAGTCACCTACAGCCCAACCAATTGGTAATAAAATACCCATGTGGACGCTGATCACTAAAGGAACATAGTATTTGTGTTGGAACATCACCAATTTATCATTCAGTAAATCGGGTGCATTTTTAAAGTCAGGTTCTGCTGATGGATAGTCACGAAGCATCCAACCCATGTGCGCATACCAAAAACCATTGTTAATCGAGTACGGATCTTTCTCGATATCATCGACATGGCGGTGGTGGGTACGGTGACCTGAACTCCAAAATAAAATACTGTTTTGCACGGCAAAGGTACCCATAATCATCAAAATGATTTTTAAAGGTAAGCTTGCTTCATAAGCACGGTGTGCCCATAGACGGTGATAGCCAGCGGTAATACCTAAGCTACTAACACCCAGTAATACAAACATACTGATCCAAGCGGCTAAGCTGAAATCATGCTGAAAGGCATATAAGGGAATTGCAATCACAGCCACAATGGGAAGAAAAACCAATGCAAAAATTGCAACCCAGTTAAATGGGGCTTTGGGTAGGGGAGCATTCATCTCCAACAGCACTCCTGAAACCTTGGGAGGTATAAATGGAAGGTCAATCCATTACTTTTTGCATGGATTAAGCTACAGCATATTAGCATGAGCGAACCTTGGTTCACTAGCATTATTGTACAGATGTATTGTACTAAACAGTAACAGAATACGAATGTTTAGATATCGAAATTACCGAAGCTTTTCTAGGCTTTATAGTAGCAGAGCGATCAATATGAAAAATAAACATTTTCAGTGCTACTAGTCATGTAAAACTCAAGTCAATCTGTGGCCTGTTCAATGCACATCTATCAAATGTTGTAGCATCATTTTAGGAAAATCGGTAATTAATCCATCAATGCCGCAGTCACGTAAATGTTTGGCGCGCTCGATGTCATTCACTGTCCAAACACTAATGGCTAAATTCGCTTGTTGTGTGGCTTTTAACAAGTCATCGGTTGCCAGTTGGTTCATCCAGCCGATTTGGCAACAGTCGTATTTGAGCGCTTGTTCAATCGCAAGATGTTGAATATCGTCTTCAATCAATAAGCCACGTTTAAATGTTGAGTGTTGATCTTGGAGTGCTTGTAGGATTTTAAGATCAAAACTGGTAATGACCACACTATGCTCAAAGCCTCTAAGTTGCTGTGTGAGATGGTGTGTGAGTAGTTCAGCTTCAGCGTGTGTTACTACAGCTTTGACTTCAACTTCAATGTGTTCGAAGTCCTGCATAATCTGGAGTGCTTGTAGTAATGTTGGGGTACTTTGCTTTTCCCAGTCTAGCCAAATATGTGCTTGGTTATAGGTATCAAGTTCTGTGCTATTTAATGGGTAGAGCGCTTGGTCGATACCAGTAGTTCGGAGCATGTTGTCATCATGCATAATGATCAGCTCATGGTCTTTGAGCTGACGAACATCAAATTCAACCGCACGTATGCCTAGATCATGAATATATTGAAAACCGCCGAGTGTATTTTCTGGGGCTTCGCCACGTGCACCACGATGTCCGATGATTCTCATATTGAACCTGATCTATACGTCTTTTGATTGATTGTAGCGCTAAAAATATCTGATTGGGATAGATTCTAAGGTGGAAATATCAGATATGCGTAAATGCGATTCGTAATGGTTTGAGGTAGGACTGAATTTGAATGAAATGTTTATATTCACGATAAGTGATGGTATTTGACGAGTTTTACGATTGGAAAAATGGTTTTGATTGCTTTGCCCAAAAGAAAAGTAACATCAAAAAGTCTTGCAGTGAATTGATCACTGCAAGACTCCGAAAAGATCTATTTCGTTCTAAAACTTAGAAACGTTTAAATAGTTTCATTGATATTTTTTTGCCAAAGCACTTCTGAGCNAATTTTACTTAAACGGTGGCCCATAATTTGTCCTGCCTAAAGAATGAAAAAAAGGATAATGTCGGTCAAAACATTATCCATAAACTGCGCTGTTTTAAATTGTTTTTTGAGTCTTTACATTAAATTAATAACGGAAAGTGACTCCTACAGAGGCTTGACGGCCGCCGTTGATGTACCAATCTTCTGGGGAGTTATCCCAAGAACTTGCCGCTTTATATGCTTCTCGATATTGAACATCACCCATGTTTTGAATGTTAGTAAACACTTTAACTGCTGGGTTAATATTCCAATAGGCATTGAAGTCGACAGTTGCATAACCTGGAACTTTTACGCTATTTGCACTATTGCTAGCATTGGCATGTGAACGAGCGATTAAAGATGTGCTGAGTCCATAGACAGCATTTTCTAGTCCTGCAGTGAAAGTAAGCGTCTGTTTTGGGCGATAGGCAATTTCTAAACCTGTTGCTTTATTTTCAGTTTCAACATAAGCATATTCTGTCGCGAGGAATAAATCGTCTTGTTTCCATTTAAGACCTGCCTCACCGCCTGTAAAATTGGCTTCCCCAACATTTTGATTCATGCTGTCGCTATAGACGATTAAGTTATCCACATTGGTGCGATAAACAGAAAAACTAGTTGCTAGATTATCCGTAATAGCATAATCAAAACCGAGTTCATAAGAGATGCTTTCTTCAGGTTCTAAATTCTCATTACCGCCCCATTGAGAATAGAGTTCATTCAGGGTTGGAGCACGGAATGCACTGCCAATATTGGCATAAACGCTTGCATTAGGCAGGAAATGATAGCGAATAGCACCTTGACCTACTGTGTGGCTTCCAAAAAGCTCATTGTCTTCTACACGCAGACCAACTTGGGTGTCAAACAGTTCATTTTTAAATTGGTGTTGTAGATAATAACCTGTGCTATTAACGCTCTGATCTTGGTTTTTGATTGAACTTGTTTTGTAGTTGGCGTCATTATAAGTCGCACCAAGCAAAATATTTTGATTTGGTGTGAATTTCCATTTTAGGTTTAAATCACTTTGGTTATTTTCAGTGTTGTACTGTGTGAAATATGATGGAACATCTTGCTTGTCTTGAACATTTGCAAAATGTGCACCTAAAATTAGATTTTGCAAAATATTGTAATCAACTTTCGCATTAATAACACGATTTACAAAATTACGAGGAGCTGTATTGGTAATGTAGTCATTACTGAAAATACTTGTTCCTTTATTTTCACTAATCGAAGCAGAAGCATCAATCTGATTTTCTTGGAAATATCCAACTTTTGCATTATAGCCTTTTTGATCATAGCTGGCCTTATCACTTTTATCTTGGCTTTCAAAAATACGAGTGCCATCACTTTCTAAGCGTTGGCCACCTACTTGAGCATAGAAACCTTGATCTGTGACTAAATCTGCTTTTGCGATGGTTTTATAGGTATGGTTTTCACCATAGATACCAGTTAATTCTGCACCAGACTTAACAGGTTTTTTTGAAATAAGTTGAACTACACCACCGATTGCATCACTACCATATTGGACTGAAGCGGGGCCTTTTAAGATCTCAATTTGTTGAACATCTGAAGTATCTAAAAAAGCAGGATAAAGTGGGCCAAGTTCATTTTGACTATTTAAACGCGCGCCATCTTTTAAAACTAAGGTATGGACAGCTTTTGTTCCACGCAATCCAATTTCAGAAATTTGCCCCATACCGCCACTTTGTTTCACGTAAACAGAAGGGTCTTGTTGGATTAAATCAGATAAATTGAGAGCAGGGTTCTATTCAATCGCATTTTTATTGATTACAGAAATACGTGCTGGTGCGTCTTTAATCTTTTCTTCAGAACGTGTTGCAGTGACAACCAATGTATCTAAAGATGCATTAATACTGTCTTGTGCAGATGCTGTTGCAGAGAAACCCATCGCAATAGCGATTGCGCCCACTAAAGCTGTAGGCTGAAATAAATTTGGCATGCTGGCTCCATACATTCACCCCCCGTGAATGATTGAGTTAAATGGCGCAATAAGCAGGTCTCCGGACTTAAATATAAATATTGCGAACAATATTGGTATATCCATCTTCCCACACGAGTGCAGTGATGTAAGTGCAAACACTTATAAAGATATACGTTTCGTTTTACCGTTGCGGGGGCAGTGTTGGACTCTCACCAACTTCCCTAAAGCATAGTGCTCAGACTTATTGCATTTGGGCGAAGTATAAGGTTTGTATGCGAATTAAACAATCTATGTAAAGATTTTTCAGGATGAACTTTACGCAAGGCGAAAAAATTGCATTACAATGATTCGCCCTGTTATTTATAGATCAGCTATAAATAGGGTTGAGCCAGAGTCATAACCTATGCGAACCCGTGCCAAAATTTGTGGAATTACCCGTAGCCAAGATATTCAAGCTGTGGTCAATGCCGGGGCTGATGCAATTGGTTTTGTATTTTTCCCGCCTAGTCCACGCCATGTCAGTGCCGCTCAAGCTAAAGAATTGATTCGACATGTGCCTGCCTATGTGCAAACTGTTGGGCTTTTTGTGAATGCCACTGCGGATGACATTGCCGATGTGTTAAAACAAGTGGCGCTGGATATCATTCAGTTTCATGGTGATGAAACACCAGAAGACTGTCAGGCAATTGCGGCACAAGTAGGGCGTCGTTGGTATAAAGCCATTCAAGTCAAACCTGAACTGGATGTGGTGGCAGAAGTTCAACGCTTTCAACAGGCAGGGGCAAGTGCAGTGCTCTTAGATGCATGGCATCCTGAACTGAAAGGGGGAACAGGACACAGTTTTGACTGGTCACAATTCCCCAAACTGGATATTCCTTTAATTTTAGCTGGTGGTTTAACCCCCACTAATGTTGAAGACGCTATAAAGACGACTGGGGCTTATGCTGTAGATGTCAGCGGAGGCGTCGAATCCGCTAAAGGTATAAAAGACCAACAACTTATAGAAAACTTCATGCAAGGAGTCCATCGTGGATCAGCAAAGTAATGTGATTGACTATACCCAATACCCAGATGAACGTGGGCATTTTGGTATCCATGGCGGACGTTTTGTGTCAGAAACTCTAATGGCAGCATTAGAAGACTTAGAAAAGCTCTATTTCCGTATGAAGGATGATGAGCAGTTTCTGGCAGAATTCGACCGTGACCTCGCTTACTATGTAGGTCGTCCTAGTCCTTTATATTATGCTGAGCGATGGTCGAAA